CCATCCATCCATCCATCCATCCATCCATCCATCCATCCATCCATCCATGCATGCATGCATCACATCCATCCATCCATCCATCCATCCATCCATCCATCCATCCATCCATCCATCCATCCATGCATGCGTACATACATACGTACATACATACATACATACATACATGCATGCATGCATGCATGCATGCATGCACTGGTACCGGAAACCAGGGAGATCGCAACCAGAACCACCCGGTTCACGTAACAGCCTGGGGACAGCCCCTGGTAATAGGAACTGAGCCTTGCGGGCCTTCCTTTCGGATCCTGAATTCCAGCCTGTCTACCTCCAGCCCCAACGTCTGCAACCGGCACCAATACTCCGGAATCCCGAAAAGCCGTGCTGAAACCTTGAAACCCGGAAGCCTCAGTCTTTCATGCATACAAAGCTACGCAACAACATCAGTTGCAAACGCGGTTACGACTGTCAGCCTGCTGCCTATCGGCCGCCTGGTTACTCTTACTGCGGCCGCACGGTGCGGTTACAGTGTGCAAGATCGGTTTCCGTTACTGCCCAAAGCGGTTCCCGTTACGTTCCGCATCCTTCCCCGCCACGCCCCATAATATGCTCTCGTCTTCCATAAGCAAAAAGAGCGCACGGTCACTGCAATGGTGCTCGTCCACCTCGCCATCCTCGTACACTGTCGACACGTTTTTGACCAGCTTCGAAAGCCTCTGGCCGTTGTTAACATTAAACCCGCATGCATCGCACCCCCTTCCCCGCACTCCCGCCCCTGCGCGGATGATTTCCGCAAAGCCAAGCAACACCTCAGCCTGAAGCCCAACCCGGGGGAGAACAACCACAAAAAATGTAGCCACACCACAGGGGACCGCAGGCAGGGGCACGGAGGGGGCTAGCATGGGGGTGGGAGGGAGGAGGGGCCTAGCAACCATACATCCTTACACATCCAAGGCCAGACAGCGCAGACAGCACGCTCCAGCCACAGGGTCGGCCGAGCGCGGAGCTCAGTGGAAAGCCCTCTTTCGAGGAGCGAAGCCACAAAAGTGCGCTCGGCTACCGCAGTCGCCAGTAGCGAGTGACGCTGTGGGGGAGCCACAGGGGCTAGGATGCAGCATCTGTTGGAGCACCAAGGTTTGGAGGTCATCGTCCTTTTCGGCATCTCGCAGCGGGAGGTAGTCCACAGCGACCTTAAGGGCTTGCGAAGGGGATGACATGAAGCGAGTAAGAACACTCCGAATAGTCCGATCGCCCTTGCAACACGGCAGACATGACGAACTGGATTCAGAAAGCAGTCTGATGCTTCGTGTCTCTATAACATCGGTCGGCATCGGTCGACACGAAAAAATTGATGAACATTGCGGCCTGTGCCAGGACAGATCGACACTGAGTGGCACATTCACGGCGGGGTTCGACTCGGACTTTGATCCTGCAGGGCCCTGAGAAATTCAATAAGACTGAAACGAAACGAAACATTGTAGGAGGAGGTAGTCCAGCCTTGCACGCACGCCTGCATCTCGAGGAAGAATGGCGGCCTATACTCCTCGCAAGCAAGCAAACAAGAGATATGTAACGCCGCCCATACCACAAAACATAGGGCGGGCAGGAGGGCATTCCTGAGATTTTAAGGCTTTGTGGACAAGGAACAGACAGTACAGCTCTAGACAAGGGAGCTCGCAACAACGCATGTGGCGTTTGACACGTCTTCTCGAAATAAGAGAGTTCAAAAGGGAAAACACAGAGAGTCCTTGTGTTCCTACTCTAATTATTCTTGCCCTCCTGTCGCTTCGCAAGGTATGCGTAGCCCCTCCATGACCTGGCATGAGAACATGGGTAGTTTTCTGAATTAGGGTCCCTTTTTTGGGGGTCCTTTTATAAGGGTGCCGTACTATATTGGGGACCAAAAAAGGGACCCTAATTTCGAGAACTACCCATATGACCACAGAACTGCTCTATCTCGTGGTGAGACATCACGTCCGGACTTGAGGCGCACGCCCTTCACTGGGAGCCGCAGAGCAGATGGAACCCCAAAGCTTGACACCGAAAGACGAAACTTGCGTGAAATACAAACGATGCGGGCCTCTACCCGCAACCATGTCTTCTTCCATCGGAGACCAAGTGGACCGGCTTTGACTGTGGACATACATTGTATCTGCCCTTCCGTGTCTGCCCTTTCGCCTCAACGTGTTAGGCCAGCCCCTGGTCACAGCGAGCCATGCTACGCGTTTGCAACGAACTGTGGGATGCCAAGCGTGTGCTTTGCTTTGGGTGCTTGTGTAAGTTTGTGGTGCGGGGAGCTGGGGCTTGAGGCTCAAGGAAAGACTGCGACATCCCTTCCGTGATGGGTTTGGTAATCTACTATAGTTTGTTATATCATACATACTGTATATGCTATAAGTATATTCTCATATACTATATAATCCACTACAAATGGCTCGGCTTGGCTTGCAGGCCATCGGAGCTGAACATTCTCAGCTCCAACTGCTGGATTCAAGACTTCCGCAACTTGGCACAGGAGGTCTGATTATCAGACGGTAGCGCCAGCCGGGTATGTCAAGTATGTTTCGACAAGCAATGAACTCACAGCGTCCGCATGAAATGAGACGCCTCCCACTGCACTGCATTCGCTGTCCAGCTGCATCAGTGGGCATCAGCGAGTCATGCTCCGAGAGCAAATTTGCGCGTGCCCAGGTAACTGGCTCATAGGTCGCGGACAGAAGTTTCCCGTCGATCGTGGCGTGCTCAGATCATCTCAGATCCTGCGTCCTGTGGATTGAATCACAGGCTTGAGGCTCGAAATTCCTCTGGCCCCTCTTGACCGTCTTGACTAGGGCTTGTGTTTGGCACTTGGCACGGACTTTTCATTAGGTGCCAGTACACTGAGGTTTTTTGGACTTCCACCAAACTCTCAAGGAGTTCTTGGTGGGTCATCCTTCTGCTGCATCAGCCACGGCCACAGCTGTGTAGGGTGCTTCAAACTGGATTTTCAAGAGCTGAAGGGAGACATGCCACGAGAGTATGCAGAAGCATCGCGATGTATATGGGCGTCAACATGGCAGCATACGGGAATCAGCTCAAAAGATCTCAAAAGTGCCCCGGGCCGGAGGCGATGTGGCTGAACGAGGCAAACAACCTCACCGCGACGATGTTCACTTTTCAGGCCTCAGTATTCGCGGACCAGTGCCCAATCATACCTGCCTGCACCTCCCAGGTCATCCCGACAGATGGAGCCGACGCCACCCTGGCGATGAGAGACCTGTGGCTCAACTACGCCATGCGCTTGGAACCAACATCGCATGCATGCGAACATGTCTGCAAGATAGGGACTGTTTATCCAGGGCCTAGGGGGGTGCCAGGGGGGATTCTAGGAAAGGAGCATTTTCCTTTTTGTCTCTCTGTCTTGGGCAGGGCTGTCTCAGGGGATGGGGTGGGGGGGCGGGCGGGAAGGAAGCCTCGGTCTCTGGCATCGGCGGTTTTCTTTCACCGCTGCCATCGAAAGCGACGATGGAAGATGATGATGTGGCTTCTCAGTGGGCTCTGATAGCGCGACAGCCTGCAGTTGCCTGGCCCAGGCCTGGGTCTGTAACGGGAACCACGGAACCCCGGGCTCGTGCAGTTTTTTCTGCGGTTCTTCATCTTTGCTCCATGTTGCGAAGGCACTGCTTGCTGGTTCTGTTTTTTGGGGTTTCTTGGGGTTTGGTTCAGGGTTTGTGTTGCGGGTCGAGCTGGGCAATAAGGTCGTGAAGAAATGGGTTCAGGGTTTCTGGGTTGCAGGCTTCTGGGCTTGGGGGTGGGCTTCTGGGTTTACAGAGTTTAGGGTTTCTGGGTTGCGGGCTTCTGGGCTTGGGGGTGGGGTTCTGGGTTTACGGGGTTCAGGGTTTCTGGGTTGGGGGCTTCCGGGCTTAGGGGTGGGGTTCTGGATTTACAGAGTTTAGGGTTTCGGGGTTGCGGGCTTCTGGGCTAAGGGGTGAGGTTCTGGGTTTACGGGGTTTAGGGTTTCTGGGTTCCGGGCTTCTGGGCTTAGGGGTGGGGTTCAGTTCTGGGTTTACGGGGTTTAGGGTTTCTGGGTTGCGGGCTTCTGGGCTAAGGGGTGAGGTTCTGGGTTTACGGGGTTTGGGGTTTCTGGGTTGAGGGCTTTTGGGCTTTGGGGTTTTAGGGGTTCTTGGTTGGACGGGGTGTTGGGGTTTAGAGGGATTGGGTTTCTAGGTTGCGGGCTTCTGGGTTTAGGGGTTTAGGGCAGTTTCGGGATTGTGCGTACTTAGTTAGTTAGCCTTGCGCATCTCGCCACGAGTGCGATGTGCTATGGAACCTGGCGGGCGAGCTCCAATCAAGCCTGTGTAAACAAAGGGTTTCTGGGAAAGAATAGAATTTAAATAGGATCTTGGGATTCTCTGGAATAGGAAAAAGTAGGATTTTGGATAGAATGGGATCCCTCTCCCAGAAGCCTGGAGGGCAGGCTTCTCTGGGATTTGTCAATTTCCAATTATTTTCCTATTGTGGGCCCATTTTTTCCTTATCTATAAGGAAAATAGGCCAGGAAAGAGGGGGTTCGGGTTGTTTCCCTATTTGTTTCCTATTCGTAGAAATCCGAGAATCCTATTTTATTCCGAGTGTTCCCGCAGAAGTAATTATTTGCAAGAATCTCCGTCTGGTCAACACCAGGACGTCTCAAGTTCAGGGTTTCTGTGTTGCGGGCTTCTGGGATTAGGGGTTTTACTGTAGGGGTTGTGGGCAGTAGTAAGGGCAGCAGACGAGTCCCTTGTGACAAAAAGGGGTTCTGGGTTTACGGGGTTTGGGGGTTTGGGGTTTCTGGGTTGCGGGAGTGTAGGGGTTCTGGGTCTGCGTGGCTTAGGGGTTTAGGGTTTCCTGGGCTTGAGAGAGAGCGGGCTTCTGAGTTTAGGGGTGTAGAGCTTCTGGGTTTAGGGTTTCTGGGTTGCGGGCTTCTGGGTTTAGGGGTGTAGGGGTTCTGGGTTTAGTAGTTTAGGGTTAAGGGTTTCTGGTTTAGGGGCTCCGTGGCTCTCTTGTCGGGATAGGGCCCGGAGGTTCAGATCTCCTACTGGTCGTTTTTGTCTTGTTTCATGTCTTGGGATTTTCCTGTTTGTTCTCGCCCTCACCCCCGACAAACAGGAACAACGACACAGGAATCGGGAAATTCTGGGGGTGACCTCCCCCGCTCAATTGTCCAATAGAGCATGCGGTGGAATCCGTAAAGCCTCGTCGTACCTTCCAAGATCGACGGCCTGAACAGCGAAGCAACATCCACTGCAGCGGGCGCTTGGGTGCAGACCTCGGTGTGCGAATTGAGGCGCTGTGCCGGTTCATGGTTCCAGAAGCAACTTGCTTGATGGAGTTCTGCCTCGAAGGAGGTTTAAGCGAAGTTCGAAGGAGAATGTCTGCATATGTCGAGGTGGCGGCAATTAGTAGTACTGGTTGTCGCAGCCGGAGCAGCAGGGCCACAGTGGGCAATTTGGAGTAGAGTGAAGAATCGCCAGCCACAGCAAGTTGAGCTTGAAGCCATGGGCAGCAGCCTTTGTGCTACAGACGCCGGTGCAGCAAATGCCGAACCCGTCCACGAGCTCTTGTTCCCGATGTATGTGGTGAAGGCATGGAGCACCGCACGTCCTGCTTGTTGAGGGCGGGGAGTCCGGGTTTCATACAACCGCTGCGGTGCGTCGTTGTCCATAGGTAGATAGCGACCCGGGAAACGACACTCCCAGTAGAAGCTGAAAGTGTTCCACAGGGCAGTCTCCAGGTGTCTGACTTCTGTAAGATGGACGGACCTCCGGAGCCGCATCACCTTCTGAAGTCACAGGGTCTGCTACACGAGTGGCGGCCAGGCAGCTCGCTTTCGTTTGGTATCCTTTGTGTATTTATCTGTTTGTGTCTCTCTCTCTCTCTGTGGGTGTGTCCGTGCAGGACCTGTAGGCCCCACATCCTTATGTTACTGGCTTCACGCACCTTTTAAGCATTCCATTCTGTTGGTGGCACCCCGTCGGTCAATAAGATAGTAAGAATACAAACAGGCATGTCTAGGGGACTTCGGTTGCACCCTGGCGTTCGATAAAAAACTGTCAAAAAAGGCATGTTCGTGATATTTGTCTCGCATCAGTGGCTGGGCTCTGCACATCCAGACCCTCATGGACGGCAAACTGCAGTGCTTCGCAGCACCCTTGCAGGTGTGATCTCTGGGTCGCTATACGTTGAACCAGATACCGTGTCCATACCATCTGGCAAGGCTTTGTCAGATACCATGCGTCGACAAATTGGGGATGGATACTTGTTCTTGGATTGGTACGCCATACCCCAGATCACGGCTCGAGAGGAGGGAGTCAACGAAGAAGTGACAAGGACGGATGCAGCGCTTGCAGTGCAGAGCATCCCTGCATACGTGGAGTTGGCGAACGTGTTCATCGCTCTGGTTCCGGCACTGTTGCATACAGAAACAATGATGCCGTGCAACTACGTCTCGTGGCAGTCCAGAGGGTGGTGCCATGCACTCGGCTGGATTTCCGTGCACGTCAGTGTGCTAGCGTGGGTAGAATTTGTTGGTGCTTTGCAAAACAAACCCCGAGACAAAGGGCGGACGACACCAGAACCACGATTTCCCAAGCCAGTAGCTAGGCATGGCATGGCACGGCACGGCACGGCACGGCACGGCATGGCATGGCACGGCATGGCATGGCATAGATGCAGGCCAACTTTCCACTCCTGCCATCCGGTACTTTCCTGATGTTCATGGGGAGGCAGGAGAGACGTTGACATGTCACTTTGCCATTGCAGCCCAGCAAGACGGAAGTTTCAAACAACACGGGTTATTATATACTATGTAAAAAGCGTGCTCACAAGAAACGCAAAGAGCTGTAGACTCATCTCTGCCAACGGACCATCGCCGATAAAGATCAATCGACAAGTGATACAGCAGATGTTGCCGTGCTCTGACTATACTTGCGGGGCGCTGTCATTAACATCGCCCGCGAGCGGCGTCTGCAACCCCCATCATTTCTGCGCTTCCTTGCTGGCCCCGCGTCTTCAACATTCTTGCGGCAGAAGGGAACCGACATTCGCTTGGTGGGTGGCTTGCGCGGGGCGGCACGGGGCATCAAGTACATACACATCGGAAGGACCCTGTGGTGATGACATGAACAAAAGACCAAGTGAGCAGTTGTCAGAGCAGTGTCGTTCCGGACACTGAGATGTTGCTGGTACTTGCGCGGGGCCAGGGGGTTGTCCGTTCGGCGCTTTGCAAGCCTCAGGCTGAAGCACCGCCACGCGCACGGAAACAGTTCGCAGAATGCTGGGCCTGCCGAGCTGTGAGAGTCGAACTCAGGTCGCGCCGAATGGTGGTGCCACCTTTTGTCCAACAAGCCAGACACCAGCGTCATCGTCGTTTATTCTTGCAGGGAAGCCGAGTTCATGTTCCCCCTGAGCTGGCAGGAGAACAAAGTTTCCGAGGGTGAGTTCACAGTAGAAGCAGACCGGAGAGTTGTAGCAAAGCTCGGTGAGCGAGCGTTGGAAAGCAAGATCAGCTTTCTCTCGACGGCTGGGCCACTGAGTAAGTATCGTTTCTACTTGGCGCAAAGGCCGCAACTACTTTGCCAACGAAGCGAAGATTTCGGCCTAATGGAGTTCCTCAGCCACTTTCGCTTCCCGGATCGCCTTGAAGAGGCGATCCGAGACACCAGCACTATGAACCCGGTCTTATGTGCGGTTTTCGCCGGCGACGCCAAGATCTTGCGTGCACTTCTTGAAAACAGGGCGGATGCGAATCAAAAGCTGTATGGTTTGTCAGACCTCGGCTTCTATGATGGTCAGACCGTGCTCATGGCAGCAACGAAGTCGCGCCAGACACCTGAGGTTCTGTCTACGCTCATCGAGTTGCGTGCGGATGTGAATGCGGCCAGCAGAATAGGTCTCACCACCGTAGCCTTGGTGCGAGATCCTGGACAGCTGCGAGTTCTCATGGAAGCGCGGGCAGACATCCATACGCCAGGGCGGCCTTTCGGGCTGTCACCAATAGCAGGCGCTGCTGTGTGGGCTTGTCCCGAGACCATCTCTGCCATGCTTGCGGCAAGATGTGATCCCAATTTCACGCCGCAGGGCGTTGGATATGGCCCATTGCATGCTGTATGCCTGCAGGCACGCAACAGTAGAAGGGCTATCGACATAGCAAGGATTCTGGTTGCCAGCCGGGCAGATGTTAACTCCACGGCGGCTCCGGTTGGAGTTTTCCAGCTTGGATGTTGGCTCGCGCAAGCCCGCGTGGCCGTGAGAGGTTTCGGGCACTGCTCCATTGTTGTGAAGACCATGGCTGCCCTTCCCGGCCTTACGCCACTTGGCGCTGCTGCCCTCATTGGTGACGAAGGTTTAGCCCGTCTTCTCTGGGAGCACGATGCCGAAGTGTTTGCGAACCAGCGAGGCGACTTACCTGAGGACCTGGCGATTGCAAATGGACATGATCACTTGCTCCCTCTCCTCGCATCCTTTGGCGTGTGAGAATTCCGGAAAAAGTACGCGCTGCAGTCGACCCTTTTCTGGACAAAGGTCACTATGCCGGGCTAGGCAGCTAGGCCTTCAATTCCCCAGAATCTAGGCAGCCATTTGATGCAACCGGTGGTTGCGGCTACAAGGCGTGCTTGCCGATGTTAGCCCAGAATAGCATGCAGTCGTGAGTCTGTAGCTGTTTGGCTACTGTACGCAGCCTGCCCAGAGTAGCACATGCACTTGTAGACTCAGACTGGCATGGGCAGCGCTGTGAGTGGGCTTTGCTCTGACGCTGAGACAAACTCCGTAAACTTGGCACCGGTGCACGAGTGCCTGTTCCCGCTCCATGTTATGAAGGCCACGCGGAAGGTTGTGTAAGGATTACTGCACACGCAGCGAGCTGCTGTCATCCGCCGGTTGGGGTTGAATCTAATTCTTGGTCTACAGTCTACAGGTTGTTTTGCATGTCCACACAGTGCAGGTGTCCGACTTCCTTGAGATGGAAGGAGTTCCAGAAGCTCACGCTGTGCTCAAACAACGGAGCTTGTTGCATGAGTGGCATAGCGGCATGTTTGTCCTGTTTATTTCCCATCAATGGCTCAGCTCTTCTCATCCGGATCCCCAGGGTCGGCAGGTTGCAGTTCTGCGCGATGCTCTGCAAGGTATGATTCATGGCTCCGTGGATGTTACTGTAGATTTCATTTCCAGGACACACGATGCGCGGAGCATGTCGCAACGTACCAGACAAGAGATTGCGAAGGGCTACATGTTTTTCGATTGGTTTGCGATTCCGCAGATCACTGCTCGTACGGAGGGTATCAATGAAGAGACTACAAGATCTGATGCTGCATCAGCTGTCAGGAGCATCCCTGCGTATGTGGAAGTTTCAAACATGTTTATCGCCCTTGTTCCAGAGCAGCTGCACAAAGAAACCGGCTTGCTTTGCAATTATGCGTCATGGCTTTCTAGAGGATGGTGTCGGGCAGAACTATGGTGTCACCTTTTGTCGAACAAGCCTGACACCAGCGTGGTGGTTGTTTATTCGCCGGCAGAGGCAGAGTATATGTTCCCGCTTGACTGGCAGCACAACCTCATCTCCGAGGGAGAGTTCACTGTCGAAAGTGACCGCTCTGCAGTCGTAAAGCTTGGCGATATGGCGGTAATGAGCAAGATCCAACACTTATCAGATGAGGGCCCTCTCAGCCACTTCCGATTCTATCTGGCCTTGCGACCCAGGTTACTGGGAAGGGAGAGGAGGGATCGCACGCTTGAGGAATTTCTTCTTCACTTCCGATTCCAAAGCTTGCAGGAAGCGGCGGAGGATGAGAGTCCCATGAATGGCACCCTGAGCGCCGTCATGTCCGGAGATGTGAAGATGCTGCGTCTGCTCGCCGCCCATCGTGCAGACGTGAACTTCAAGCTGCATGGCCTTGGCGAGCTGGGCTATTTCGACACCCAAACTGTTTTGATGGCGGCTGCCAAATCTCGGCAGGAGCCCGAGATGCTTTCGGCACTCATTGAGCTCAAAGCTGATGTGGAGACAAGGTCAAGATCCAACATCGTTTGCGCATATCTCGTCCGGTCTCCAGGGCACGTGAAAGTGTTGGCTGATGCAAAAGCAAACCTGGAAGCAAGTTGGCCCTTAAACGGTCCCGCGGCCCTGGCTAGCACCGAAACTGTTGCAGCTATGTTGAAGTTCCGTTGCGATCCGAACTACGATTATGAGTCCTTTGGAGTTAGATATGGCCCTTTACATTCAATGACTTTGTTTGGGCGCTCCAACAGAGATGCAGTGACG